CCTTTACAGACTGTTAACGTCACATATGAACAGTTCTTCAGATAAACTATAACATAAACAACAGAACAAAGTAAGTTTAACAAACTCTCCATCTCACTCCAAATCACTAAATCCATTCAATTCTTCATCCTCGGCGTCACTTCTGAGCAACTCCACGACCTCCAGAGGTAAACAGAGCGACGCTTCCTCTTCTGTGTCGCTGTCGTCAGACTCAGCATCAGTTCCAGTTAGAATTATTCGGGTCTTTCTGAATCCCGACAGGATGGTTTCGGTGTCACTGAAGTCCAGGCTTTGTCCATTAATCCAGTGACTTCAGGAAAGTTTCATGGTGCATCCTCCCAGTGTCACAAGTTTCTCTCTCACTCCAAACTTTCTTTCTGCTGCTCGATTATCGTTTTCAGCTGCAGATTTCGCTTCTTGCTAAATCTGATTTCTTTTTTGGGGACATTTGTGTTCAGTTTTGTCAGTCGTCTTTATAAGTTTGTTTCAATGTTAAATTGTTCAGTGGTGCAGAAGTAACAGTGCGAATGACTGACATGATACAGACAGAACAGAGGCTCTTTCTGCAGGAGACATGCGCAGTAGAGTGAAGTGACAGTGGTACAGGAGGAACAGGAGCAGCAGATACTGACACACAAGACTAGAACCTCTCCACACTTCACTGAAACATTTTAATATATAAGTCACACCAGAGAATAAGTCTACGTTCAGACTGCAGGGCTTAACGCTCAATTCTGATTTTTTTGTGAAATCCGATGTTTTTTCGAGGTCGTTCACATTTCCAATTAAATGTGACTTGTATGTGACTCCAGTGTGAACAGTAAACAGCCCAAAAGTGTCCCACATGTGACACTGGAGACACGACGACGTCAACCGCAGCGAGCGTCTCTGTGTTTACAGAAGTTGTCCAAACATGGACGCAGCATCGAGCACCTGGAGATTTTAAAGTTCCTCTCGTACCGGAGCCAGAACATGAACAACTTACTTGTTTTAAGGAGGAGACTGAGAAGGAGAAGGACGAGGTTTTTGGTCGTGGTGTTTTGTGGGACAGCGGCAGCGACGTCCGTTGAAAGGAACGTGTGGATGTGGAGACGGAGCCAAGAGTGGTGAGTGGTGATGTGCTTCACTTCAGTGACACGGAGTTCATTAACAATTTTCATATGACGAGAAGAACGTTTGTGCACATTTGTGGCTTGTTGATAACGTGTAGGTGGATGAATGCGCTTTGGCCGTTCAGACTGAAGTCAAAAGATCAGATATGTATCGGTTTCAGGAGCACATATCCAAGTGTCCTGGGTCACATTTGAAAAAATCGGATCTGTGTCGTTCAGACTGTCATTAAAAGATCAGATACAGGAACATAGAGGCCAAAAAATCTGACTTGGGTCACTTCAGTCTGCGGTCTGAACGCAGCCTAAGTCACAGGAAACACCCAAACCGTGAAAAAAGTGCCAATAAATCAACATTTAAAGGAGAATTAAACGTTCAATATGACCTTAAATCAACTCTTCTGAGCTTATCGTTGTGTTTAAATGTCGTTACCTCCTCAAAAACAGACGTGGGGTTGTGTTTTGTTTCATTCACGTGTTGTTTGGAGAAGCAGACAGACTAATAAAAAAGGTTTACTCAAAGCTCAAAATGCTCTGTTCCACTTTGTGATGTCGTGAAGTGGTAGTTTTTCCTTTTAACTTTAGTCCAGTGGAGATTCGTCCTCATGAAACGTGGCATTTGTGATTTAAAATGTCCAGAGTCTAACATAAAGCTCCTCTGGTGTCGTAGATTTATAAATGTAGAGCGGCGGACTCTCGTGTCGTCTTTAAAAGAAGAAGTGAAATCTTTCGACAGTTTTGCTCTCGTCTTTTTGGAGAGAGAGAAAAAAAAAAAAGAGTCAGAAATCAGGGACAATGTAATAGTGTGAATATTTCCTGGAAAATCCAATCGAAAGGCCCTCACAGCTGCTGCTCTGTCGGAGGAAAGTGTGAGCCCCAGTGTTTCTGAAGAGAACTCAGGGTTACATCAGGCCCAGTCTGACTGCCACAATACAACCACACACGTCCACACACACAGAGGGAGGAGAAAAGAGGCAGAGGAAAAGAGGGAGAGAAGGAGAGAGAGAGAGAGAGAGAGAGAGAAGAGAGAGAGAGAGAGAGAAGAGAGAGAGAGAGAGAGAGTGAAGACGAGAGAGGAGAGGGGGGAAAGAGAGGAAGAGGGAGAGAGAGCAACAGGAGAAAGGAGAGAAGAGGGGGAGAGGAGGGAGAGAAAGCAGAGAGAAAGAGAGAGAGCAAAAAGAGAGAGGGAGAGAGCATCAGGAGAGAGAGAGAAGAGAGAGAGAGTATCAGTAGAAGAGAGAGAAGAGAGAGAGAGCATCAGGAGAGAGAAAGAGAGAGAGCAACAGAGAGAGAGAGAGAGAGAGAGAGCATCAGAGAGAGAGAAGAGAGAGAGAGAGAGAGAGAGAGAGAGAGAGAGAGAGAGAGAGAGAGAGAGAGAGAGAGAGAGAGAGAGAGAGAGAGAGAGAGAGAGAGAGAGAGAGGAAGAGAGAGAGAAGAGGGAGAGAGAGCAACAGGAGAAAAGAGAGAAGAGGGGGAGAGGAGGGAGGGAAGGAGGGAGAGAAAGCAACAGGAGAGAGAAAGAGAGAGAGCAACAAGAGAGAGGGAGAGAGAGCATCAGGAGAGAGGAAAGAGAGAGAGAGAGAGTATCAGGAGAGAGAGGAGAGAGAGAGAGTATCAAGAGAGAGAGAGAAGAGAGAGAGAGTATCAGGAAAGAGAAGAGAGAGAGAAGAGAGAGTGCATCAAGAGAGAGAGGAGAGAGAGAGGAGCATCAGAGAGAGGAAAGAGAAAGAGAGAGCATCAGAGAGAGAGAAAGAAGAGAGAGAGAGCATCAGGAGAGAGAGAGAAGAAGAGAGAGAGAGACCAGAGAGAGGGAGAGAGAGCATCAGGAGAGAGAAAAGAGAGAGAGTATCAGGAGAGAGAGGAGAGAGAGAGAGTATCAAGAGAGAGAGAGAAGAGAGAGAGAGTATCAGGAAAGAGAAGAGAGAGAGAAGAGAGAGTATCAAGAGAGAGAGGAGAGAGAGAGAGCATCAGGAGAGAGAAAGAAAAGAGAGAGCATCAGGAGAGAGAAAGAAAAGAGAGAGCATCAGGAGAGAGAAAGAAAAGAGAGAGCAACAGGAGAGAGGAAGAAGAGAGAGAGAGCATCAGGAGAGAGAAAGAAAAGAGAGAGCATCAGGAGAGAGGGAGAGGAGGAGGAAAGAGGAAAGAGAAAGAGAGAGAGCAACAGGAGCAAAGAAAGGAGCGAGGGAGGGAGGGAGGGAGAGGGGATAGGAGATGGAAAGAGGGAGAGAGAAGGTATGGGGGAGGAGAGAGAGCATCAGGAGAGAGAGAGAAGAGAGAGAGAGTATCAGGAGAGAGAGAGAAGAGAGAGAAAGAGAGCATCAGGAGAGAGAGAGAAGAGAGAGAGAGTATCAGGAGAGAGAGAGAAAAGAGAGAGTATCAGGAGAGAGGGAGAGAGGAGGAGAGAGAAATGGAGGAGAGAAAGGAAGGAGAGGAGGGAGTAAAAGGAGACATGGAAGAAGGAGGGAGAGGAGAGACAGGGGCCAGTTTAAATAGAACAGGACTAAACTATTACAGACCAGGACTGAACCAGAACTAGACCAAGACGAAACCAAAACTAAACCTCGCTCGAGCCTACGCTCCCACGCCGCTCCCACGCCGCCCCACCCACGCCGCTCCCACGCCGCTCCCACGCCACGCCGCACCCACGCCGCTCCCACGCCGCTCCCACGCCGCTCCACGCTCCCACGCCGCTCCCACGCCCACGCCGCTCCCACCCACGCCGCTCCCACGCTCCCCGCTCCCACGCCTCTCCCACGCCGCTCCCACGCCACTCCCACGCCGCTCCCACGCCGCTCCCACGCCGCTCCCACGCCGCTCCCACACCGCTCCCGCGCCGCTCCGAGCCCTGCACATGCCCTGCCTCACGAGTGCACTTTACCCCTTGATCTAACCTCCTAACCCTAAACCTACCTGAACTCCTAACTCTAGTCCTAACTCTAGTCCTAACTCTAGTCCTAACTCTAGCCCTAACTCTAGTCCTAACTCTAGTCCTAACTCTAGTCCTAACTCTAGCCCTAACTCTAGTCCTAACTCTAGCCCTAACTCTAGTCCTAACTCTAGTCCTAACTCTAGTCCCAATCCTAACCCTAAATTGAACCCTGGCCCTAACCCGAACCTTTAACCCCTAATCTTAACCAAACCCATTTTTCTCAATTTCTGTATGTGTTCATTTTATTTTATTTTTTAATCCAAGATGGTGGACTTCCAGTTTGGGAGGGGGGTGTGGTCACAATATACTTTTTTGTTCCTATTCCCATGATGCATCTGTGCACCAAATTTGGTTTGAGTACGTCAAAGTTTTTGTTGGGACGTCCCATTGGTGAGGACTGTTTGGCATGTTGCCATGGCAACATGATAGGAGATGGAGTGTGAGCGTCATTGACTTTTTTCCATCAAGACCAGGTCACAAATGTGTGTACCAAATTTTGTATGTCTATGAAAAAGTAAAATTTAATTGTTCCATACAATCTCCCCAGGGGGCGCTGTTGGATCCATTTTAGATTTTATTATATAAATCTGTTCAGGGTCGGAGTTTCCACCAACGATTAAAGTTTGAGTGAAACTGGCCAAAGTTTGTGCAAATTATCAATCAACTGATGGCGAGCTGCAAAAACAAACCTGAAATTTGCACCGCAACGCGCTCGTCATTGACCTCTTCGATTACTCACAAACCCAGTGCATGTTTTTGGAGTTTACGAGAGTTAACGATTACAGTTATGCCACTGTTGCGGCAACGGGCAATGCCAGTCTGTTCTACTGGAGGCCATGAGTGTCACTATTGAGTGGCACTGAGTGTTTGATAAGGGGAGAGCACTTCGTGCTCTGTTTTTGTGGGCGTGCACGATGTCAAGTGCCCCCTACGTATTAGGGTAAACAATAACAATTAGGGCAATGCCACTGTGCCATGTCAGCGGGCACCAGTCACTGACACGAGTGCCAGTGTGAGTAACAACAGCCCTACTCCACTCATGGTGCTTGGGCCTAATAAGACCAGGATTAAACCAGGACTAGATCAGGACTAAACTCAAACTAAACTAGAACATGTCCAGGACGAAACGAGGACTAGACCAGGACTAAACTATAACTAAACTTGAAATAGACTAGGCCTAAACCAGGACTAGACCAGGACTAAACCAGGACTATAGACTAGGACTGAACCCTGACTAAACCAGGCCTTATTCGTAAGTGTTTAATCTGAACTTTCTTCTGTAACTCCTCGTTCCTCTCGTTCCTGTCGTTGGCCTCGCTCCTCCGCAGACGTTTCCCCGGAGGCTGCCGGCGTCTCCCTCCCCCTCCTCCCCCTCCTCCCCCCCCCTCCTCCCCTCGGCTCCTCGTTTTGGGCCGGTGCGCTCCTGTCACCTCCCTGTCGCTGGAGGCTGTGCTAAAACACTGCTAAATGTTGCATGAGGCCTTTTGAAGTGCGGCAGATGAAACGGCACACGCGTGTTCTTTGTCGACAGGTGCGCTCCTGCCGTCTCTGTTCTCCGCCGTTTGAAAGGCCCGGTTTGACGGAGTTCATTTGAAATATGACAAATGAAATGAAAGCGGATTTTCCCAGCGAGAGGGTGGTCAGTGAAGGCCTCTTTGATTCCGGAGCCGTTGAAAGGGAATATTAAAGCTCCGTGTGACATTCCGATCGGGGGGAATCGTTGAGGTGTTATTTAAGTCGGGAAAAGTGAGAAAAACTGTGTGGAGACGGGTTAATTTTCAATGAAATGAGAGTAGAAAATAAAATAATCATGAAGGATGTGGATTTAATAAACATCAAATGAAGCAAATCAGAGCCAAGAGGGAGAAAGTTCTGAACCAGGACTAAACCAGGACTAAACAAGGACTAAACCAGGACTAAACCAGGACTAAACAAGGACTAAACCAGGACTAAACCAGGACTAAACCAGGACTAAACAAGGACTAAACCAGGACTAAACCAGGACTAAACAAGTACTAAACAAGGACTAAACAAAGACTAAACCAGGACTAAACAAGGACTAAACCAGGACTAAACAAGGACTAAACAAGTACTAAACAAGGACTAAACCAGGACTAAACAAGGACTAAACCAGGACTAAACCAGGACTAAACAAGGACTAAACAAGGACTAAACAAGACTAAACAGGAGACTAAACCAGGACTAAACCAGGACTAAACAAGGACTAAACAAGGACTAAACAGGACTAAAACCAGGACTAAACCAAGGACTAAACCAGGACTAAACAAGGACTAAACAAGGACTAAACAAGGACTAAACCAGGACTAAACCAGGACTAAACCAGGACTAAACAAGGACTAAACAAGACTAAACAAGACTAAACCAGGACTAAACAAGGACTAAACCAGGACTAAACCAGGACTAAACAAGGACTAAACCAGACTAAAAGGACTAAACAAGGACTAAACAAGGAAACAAAGACTAAACCAGGACTAAACAAGGACTAAACCAGGACTAAACCAGGAATAAACAAGGACTAAACAAGGATTAAACAAAGACTAAACCAGGACTAAACAAGGACTAAACCAGGACTAAACAAGGACTAAACAAAGACTAAACTAGGTCTAAACAAAGACTAAACCAGGACTAAACAAAGACTAAACCAGGACTAAACAAAGACTAAACCAGGACTAAACAAGGACTAAACGAGGTCTAAAGAAGGACTAAACCAGGACTAAAACAGGTCTAAACCAGGACTAAACAAAGACTAAAAAAGGACTAGACAAGGACTAAACAAGGACTAGACAAAGACTAAACCAGGACTAAAACAGGTCTAAACCAGGACTAAACAAGGACTAAAAAAGGACTAGACAAGGACTAAACAAGGACTAAACCAGGAACTAAAGAAGGACTAGAGCAGGGCTAAACAAAGACTAAACAGAGAGTAAACCAGGACTAAAGAAGGACTAAACCAGGACTAAACTAGGACTAAACCAGGACTAAACAAGGACTAGACAAGGACTAGGCCAGGGCTAGATCAGGACTAAACTAGGACTTAAATAGACCTTGTCCAGGATGAAAGAACGACTAGACTAGGGCTAAACCAGGACTAAACAAAAAACTAAACAAGTACAAAACCAGGACTAAACCAGGACTAAAACCAGGACTAAACAAAGACTAAATCCAAGACTAAACCAGGTCTAAACAAGGACTAAACCAGGACTAAACTAGAACTTGTCCAAGATTAAAGTACGACTAGACCAGGGCTAAACCGGAGTAAACAAGGACTAAACCAGGTCTAAACAAGAACCAGAGCAGGGCTAAACCAGGACTAAATCAAGACTAAATCAAGACTAAACAAAGACTAAACAAAGACTAAACAAGGACTAAACCAGGACTAAACAAGGACTAAACCAGGACTAGACCAGGGCTAGATCAGGACTAAACCAGGACTTAACTAGAACTTGTCCAGGATTAAAGTACGACTAGACCAGGGCTAAACCAGGACTAATCAAAGATTAAACAAAGACTAAACCAGGACTAAACCAGGACTGGAGCAGGGCTAAACAAGGACTAAATCAAGACTAAACAAAGACTAAACCAGGACTTAACCAGGACTAAACCAGGACTAGACCAGGGCTAGATCAGGACTAAACCAGGACTTAACTAGAACTTGTCCAGGATTAAAGACCAGGGCTAAACCAGGTCTAAACCAGGACTAAACACAGACTAAACGCACAAATGTAGGCTCGCATTTACAATGACAATAAGCATTTAATTCATCAGATCTGAGTTACTGAGCAGAATATTAACCCCGTGCTCCTGTTGCTTCTTTTGTTTTTGTTTTTTTATGTGTGTATGTAAATCTGGTCCGCGAGCCGGGATTTGGATTCTCAGGACTGGACTCCGGCGTGACAGTCGCCATTTTGTTTGGTTGTTTTAATCGTTTGTGTCTCATTTTGCGTGAATTATGCTGTTTAATGCTTTTGTTACTTGATTTCGTTTGAGACACTTTTGTTTTCCGTGTAGTACAACTTTAGTCAGGTTCTTTTTTTGTTGTTCTTAGTTTAGGTCTCTATAGTTTGGTAATTCCTTTATATCTAAACCCCTTTATTTCACCGACACATGTCTTTGTTCTTTTTTTCTTTCTTGCACTGTTAATTCATAAACTCACAATTTTTATTTAAACCTTTAACATCTTGTTTTTTATTGTTGCTTCCCTTCGTAATAAGCTGCTGGTCGCTCCTGAGCTCCCAGTTGGTGACACCTGGTCTGGGGTGACCAGATTTTCAAAATAAAAACTGACACACTCTTGGTTTGTGGTGGTTGGTAATAATGAAACTGTGAATCGAGTGTAATTAAGGAAAATTGTTCTGCACTCGGCACATTCATGACCAACATGAGTCAGTGTAGTCACATTTTCTCTGTGTTTTGGGCATTTTTTAAGCTGCTTTTCTGTATTTTACCTAAACAAATTACACTGTACACTGTCCTCTCTTTACTGTTGGCAGGGATCAATGGTCAAAAATAGGGACACCAGGGACATTTCCTATTAATCAGGCTGGCGCCACCTAGTGCCTCTGCTAAATATAATTTCTCTCCAGTGACTAGGTCAGGAATGGGAATACACTAGACCAGGAGTCTCAAACTCAAATGACCTGGGGGCCACATTAGATAAAGTCTGAGTGAGGCTGGGCCGCATTGAGTATTCGATAAATAGCGGTTGCATGAAAAAAAAATGCCGTATGTGCACGTGTACTCGTATTAACAGATCCACTTAGACTCGTTGCTTCACAGCTGCTGTAAGTTGAGTTTTGGGACATAAGCTGCGTTAATAATCTGTTGTTGTGAATCTGCTTGGGCACTGATTGCAGCTTCATCTGTCAGTGCGGCCCGCGGTCGGGGGGTGGGATTGTGCGAACATCTCCTGTGGGCCACACTGACATTGTTCTTTGGAATTAAGTGGAGGGCCGCAAAAAATCCTTCCGAGGGCCGCAGTTGGCCCCCGGGCTGGAGTCTGAGACCCCTGCACTAGAAGGTTTGTAAGAATGTAATGTAAATGTAATGACCAAAAGGACGAGATCACGGATACAAGCGGCTGAAATGAGTTTCCTCCGCAGGGCGTCTGGGCGCTTCCTTAGAGACAGAGTGAGGAGCTCGGTCACACGGGAGGAGCTCGGAGTAGAGCCGCTGCTCCTCCACGTCGAGAGGAGCAGTTGAGGCTCGTGTGTCTGTTCCAGATGCCTCCTGGACGTCTCTCTCAGGAGGTGTTCTGACCTCAGGGAAGACCCAGGACACGCTGGAGGGACTACGTCTCTGGACTGGCCTGGGAACACCTCGAGGTCCCCCCACAGGAGCTGGAGGAAGTGTTTGGGGTGAAGGAAGTCTGGGAGTCCCTGCTTAGACTGCTGCCCCTGCGACCTGGCCGCGGATAAGAGGAAGAAAATGAATAAATGGATGGTTTGGAAGAACCCCGGAAGTTGTAGACTGCGCTCCCACGAATCAACAGAAATCTGTGAAGTCATGACGTCAAACTCAAACGTCTGTCTGTGTCCCTTTTGTGGAACAACACAACAGTAAACAAAGCGTCGAGATGGATGTAGACGAAGACAGACATTCTGTGTTGGCAACGATTTTCGAGATTGAGGATTTAAAGCTGGAACAAAAAGAATGTTTGGTGAATTTTATCAAGTGAAAAGACGTTATTTCTCTTCTTCCTACAGGATTTGGCGAATTACGTACGTCACGACCAAACATCAGCAATTGGTTAAATAAAAAAAAGTACCCGCCTACGGTCAAGCGAACGAATCCTAATGCTGCGAGGTCAGACTGTTTCCACAAAGTGAAACCAGCTGGTCAATCAGGCTAATTTTTTTACATAAAACTTGGAAAAATCACTGGTTTTGAATAAATCTGCTGGGACAAAGGACACAGGACTCAAAACTCGGACTGTCCTGGTCAC